AATACAGTGGTAAGAAGAACAACTCCCTGGGCAGGCGAGCCTCTGGGAGCTCTACCTTGAGACCCTTGGTGTCCTCAGGCCTGACAAGTTGTCCTTTGAAATTCATCCCAACCTTACTTTTCTCTTGATCCTACTTCATGTTCTGGCTTTGTGGGAGCCTAGCCAGTTTGGATGTTCGCCTTCCTAGACCAGGATGGAGGGGGGAGGACTTTGGACTTTCCACAGGGCAGGGAACCCTGACTGCTCTTCAGACTAGAGAGGGAGGGGGAGAGGAGTGGGGGGAGGGGGAGAGGAGTGGGGGGGAGGGGGAGAGGAGTGGGAGGAGGGGAGGGAAATGGGAGGCTGGGAGGAGGCGGAAATTTTTTTTCCATTAAAAAAAAATAAAAAAATTAATTTTTGTGTGTCCTTAAGTTATCTCAGAGTTTTACTTCAAGAAAGTAAAGGATTCCTTCTGTAGTCTTATAAGGTCGTAGTCAGGGAGATATGTGGGGTCCGGTAAGATTGTTCTGGGAAGTGTTTTTAGGAAGAGAGGGAAGGATTTGGGATTGTCAGTTCCTGAGGTTTGGGGCAAGGGTGTGAGTGTGGATCTGGAAAGAGATGACGGATTCAGTGGAGGTCTGGAGAGAGGCAGTGGAAACGTGTAGAGCGTCCCTCAGCTCTACAATCTCATTCCTCTACAATGTCATACCAGAGTCAGCGAACTTAGGAACCAAGAGTCTAGCTTATGCTTCTGGAGGTTGTGGCTGCTGTTCCTGCCCTCCGTTCTTTTGAGAACTTTGTCACAGCTGTAATTTTGATCTAGAATGTTCATCAAAGGCCACATGTTGAAGACTTGGTGAACAAACCATGATGCTGTTGGGAGGTAGAGGTGCTGTTGGGAGAAAGGAGAGCTTAGTGGGAGATTCTAGTCCGCTCATTTTTGTGTTCTCAAAGGGGGTTGTGGAACTCCGTCTCTTCTTTACCGTCTCCATCCTTGCCATAAGGATGCCTTACTCCACGACACACATCAGGCTGCTGTCCTGCCTTGCCACAGGCCCAAAGCATGGGGCAAAACGACTATGACATTTTTTAAGTGTCAAAATTTGCCCCTAGTACCACACCTCCCCCAGCAAGGCCACACCTCCTAATCCTTCACCAACACTTCCACCAGCCAGAGACCAAGTATTTAAATATATGAGCATGTTGGGATCATTCTCTTGTAAACCACCACATTAACAAGGAAAAAGAGTTTTTATATTATGTTTCAGCTTCAAAGGCAGGGGATGTCTTGTTGATAATAGGGTTGGATAAATATTTTCTCACCTAAATCCTGTTCCTACCTCGCACTGCATTTTGAACTTCCTGTCTGGCCCCCCCTTTTTTTTCCTTCATCACGTTCCAGAGCTGGGTTCTTTGCCTCCAGAACACACACTTCCTGGCTTGAGTACTTACGACCCCTTTCCCTGTTAGGCTGCATGTTCTGTGAGAGAAAGAAGTGTTTTTGTTCACCAGAGCTTCCCCTGATATAGGCATCATGTATGGCACAAACAAGTGTGCAATGGGTGATGGGTAATATCCAGTTACCATCATAGGACAAGTAGGGAATAGTAATAGAATAATGACCCAGGGCAAGCAGGGACTGTATAATCATATATGGTCACTGTGCAGGGCACATTCAGGAGATACCATGTAGCTAACAGCAGAGATGAGCAGAGCATCTGACTTTTTCCTATATTAAAGATGGAGTTTGTTCAGGTCAAGGAAGCAGAAATATTTGAGGGATTCTGTACAATAAAAGTATACCGGAAACCTTCATGCAAGTAAGTCTCTTCTTCTTGACTTCCTGTGTTGCTTTATCTGTGTTCATTTTCCAGATGTGTCTATCACTTTATCTTTGTCTGTGCATGTGCTGTAAGGTGCACTGGAGACGAAGAAATGAAGTGTATCGTGAAGGCTAAGGAGCTGGGATGTGCAGCCCAAAGACAAACTGGTGCAGGAGAGGCATCTCCTGGTGTTTCAGGACAACCAAACAAACCCACCCCTTCAATTATAGCGGAGTAATGAGCCCACTCCACAGCATGTGGAGACATAATTAGGAACGTGCTGTAGGCCGGCGGCCCAGGTGTCAGGTCATTATCTGAACCATTAAGTTGGGAGTTATGCCCGTTAAAGGTTACTGGTTTGGAAAAGGTGAGATTAGAATGCAAGAGTCTTGGAAAATAAGAATTTTTCCGATTCAAAGGATACTATAGAAAACCTCCAGCATCTGACTTTTTCTTGCAACTTTTCATGGATGTGTAATGAGGACCTGGCTCACGAGGGCACAGCTTGATGGATTTCTCCAAAGGTCAAGAAGTGCTTCATCGCCTTGACCGGCATCCCTGGGGTCACTCTCTTGCTACTTCCTCTTCCAACCCCTACATCCCGTCTTGACCGACAGAAATGTTTCCTGGTTTTGGACTTTTTATAATGGAATCGTGCAGTCCCGCTCTTAACCCAGTGTCGTGGGTTATCATCCCGAGGGACGTTCCTGACGCTGGACTCCCCAGAAAGAAATCCTCGTTTCAGATTTCCCTGGGATATAGCTAAGTTGGGAGAGGCAGTTTCCTGTTGTTTCTAGAGCTTTGTTTTTCTCCTTAGGAGGTGTGTGTATGTGTTTGTGTGTGTGTGTGTGTGTGTGTGTGTGTGTACACATATGTTGTGTAGGCTAGTGATCAGTCTTGTGAGTGCTTAGAAGCTTCTTGTTTTATGAGTTTACGAGGCAGGATCTCTCCTTAGGGACAGGGGCTTGCTCTTTGGCTAGGGTGACTGCCCAGGCTTCTTTGGTCTTCGCCTCCCCAGCACCGGGATTGAAAGCATATACCATCTTGCCTGACTTTTTGTGGGGGGAGGGCAGCGGCTAGGGTATCAAAGCAAATTCTCCTGCTTTTATGCAAGTATTCCACCGGCTAGTACTTCACTTACTGAGCTATCTTCTCAGTCCCTGGTTAGGAAAACTTTATGAAAATACATGTTTGTGCAAATGTGTGCTTGTTTGTCTATACTTATGTATATATGCTTTAGGAGTTTTTTCTCAAATTAGGGGTTGGGAGATAGATGGATGGGTAGTGTGCTTACTGTGCCAGCCTGAGGACCTGAGATTCCTAACACCAATGTAAGAGCCAGTTGGGATGGCGCATATATGTAACCCCAGCATTGGCAGCCGGCTGGTGGGGAGACAGAAGTAGATGGGGTAGAGGGGAACAGAGCTGCAGGCCAATCCCTGGAGCTCACTGGCCAGCCAGTCTAAGCCAGTAGTTGAGCTCTGTGTTCACTGGGAGATGAGAATCTGTCTCCAGAGGTAAGGCGGAAAGCAGTAGTGGAGGGTATCTCTTCCTGCCCCCATTGTAATGTGAAAAGTAGGAAAAAAGGAAGAAGGGAGGGAGGGAGGGAGGGAGTGAAGGAAAGAAGTTTTACTCATTTTTTAATTTTTTTTTTTTTTGAGACAGGGTTTCTCTTTAGCTTGGGAACCTGTCCTGGAACTAGCTCTTGTAGACCAGGCTGGTCTCGAACTACAGAGATCCACCTGCCTCTGCTTCCCAAGTGCTGGGATTAAAGGCGTGCGCCACCACCGCCCAGCTACTCATGTTACATGTGCCATGGTATGTATGCATGGTATGAGAAATACTCATTTCTCAGTGATATGGCTTAATGCACTTTTCTTATCTGCACACCCACACCCACTACATCTCCCTATCGACATCACATTGCTCTGTTGAGATGTAGATGTCTCTCAATACATTGAACCTAAGAACAGTGTGGTCATTACTGGATTTCCATGGCCATTGAACAGTAGAGTCCATATATGAGATTACCTGTAAAATACCTTCCTCCTCCTCTTCCTCCTCCTCCTCTTCTTCCTCCTCCTCATCCTCCTCCTTCCTTCTTCCTCCTCCTCATCCTCCTCCTTCCTTCTTCCTCCTCCTCATCCTCCTCCTTCCTTCTTCCTCCTCCTCATCCTCCTCCTTCCTTCTTCTTCCTCCTCATCCTCCTCCTTCCTCCTCCTCCTCTTCCTTCTTCCTTCTCCTCCTCCTCCTCTTCCTTCTTCCTTCTCCTCCTCCTCCTTCTTCTTCTTGATTGTCTGTTTTAAAGTTATCATTTACAGCATTATAGCCTCTCCCCACATACCTCCTTCTCTTCCTCCCTCCCCACCCCAGGTCAGGTAAGTGCAGGGAGATGTACAGAGTCACCTTTGGGAGCCTATCTCATAATCACAATATAAAATACATTCTTAGAAGTGGACTTGCCCAGCAGTGGGGCCCACCCATCTAAAATACCTTCCGATGTTTGTAAGTTGTTCCTCAAAACATTTGAGGCTGGATTTTCTTCTTCCCAGTGTCCTTGCCTGCTCTCCGCCTTGCCGAGCTTCCCAGTCTTTATGTCGTACACAACAGAGCCACTGCTGCTCCAGGTTGCTACTTGTTTCCCTCGGACTAATGTTTTATGTTTATTGGACATTATCCCCATCTTTTGCTCCTTTTTCTGCCAACTTTATTCTTAATGAGTTTTTATCGTATTTTACTTAATGATTCCAAGAAGCCCTTTCTATAGATAAACCTCTTGTAATGGTAATTTTTTTTCAGTTCTTAAAAAAATATCACTATTTTTGCTACTTTTTGTTTGCTTTCAGTCTGGTTTTAATATTTAAAAGTCAGCGTTCACTAGATTTTTTTTTTTCCCTTGGTGGCTTCTGTTTTGTGTGTGTTTGGCAAGGAAAGCACTGGAAGCTTGAGACAGACAGACATGCCTGGAGTGGGCAGGAAAACGCGGCTGTGTAGCAGTTGGAATTCATGGGAGACATGGTGTGAGCGGTTATGTGCATCACAAACATACAAACATTCGCACAGACGCTGCCAGTTTGTTTGTTTGTTTGAATTTGTGCTGTCTTCGGAAGGAATTTTAGTTCTGTGCCTGTTTCCGTTCATGCTTTGTTATTTGAGGTTCTAACTTCTGAATTTTTTTTTTTTGTTTTTCAATTTTAGATTGCAGATTATAACCCATTTCCTGCACCATTGCTGACGCCCAGAGATCCATGTCAGAAGTACTTCCAGGTCAGATATGATTTTACATACTTCAGTACGCAGATAATGTGATGGTTATTTTAATGTTAAGCTCCTGTTTGCTAAAATGGCATTTTTAAATTTTCATTGTTCTATATCCTATAATAGAAAAAGTAGGTATTTCAAAAATAAAAAGTCATTTGAACTTCACCACGTGTGTGCTGTGGTGTCTATAAGAAGATTACAGTGGACTGTGGCGGGAAACTGAAGCTCCGTCTTCCCCGCCTGGCAGTGTATGTTGTCGCCTGTGGACTGCTGACCGCTGGCGGAGAAGGTGCCACTGCTAAGTCTTTGTAATCAGCATCCCGAGTCATGGGACTTGTCAAGACTAGAGTTCCCCGTCTCAGGATTCTCCGTGGCTCTAATTCTGTATAATTTCAGGCTTGAGCAGGACTGCCTTGACTTCACTGCATGTCCCTCTCTTCATGTCACGACAGATGCTAGTCTGCACACCACTGTATGGTGTAGGGTTTAATTCTTGACCTCGGGATAGGATAAGGAAAAAGCAATTGTGGTAACTCTTTGAGATAAACTCTGGAACTAAGTGGCAAACAGCCTCTCTGTTTCCCTGGACAGGTACCAGTTCTGATTTTTTTTAGTTAGACTTAACCATGGGCCGGTGTCTTTAAATTCTAACGTTAACCTTATCATTAAATTGTCTCTATTACCTAGAACTCTGCACTACATTTTCCACAAAGAGGTTAAAAAAAAAATCCAAGTGCGCACTGAGCTTGGTATTAGTATATGAAGGGCAAGAAGTTTACTTTTTTTAGATTTATTAGTTTTTATTTTGTGTCTATGTGTGTTTTGCTGGCATGTATCTATGTATACCACATATGTGCCTGGTGCCTGCAGGGGTTGTAAGAGGGACTGGAATCCCTGGAACTAGAATTACAGATGGTTATGAGTCAGCGTGTGGGTGCTGGGAATGGAAGACCTCAGGTCCTCTGCAAGAGCTCAAGTGCTCTTAACCTCTGAGCCCTCTCTCCAGCCCTAAGAAACCCGCTTTTCCTAAGGATAAGAAAAGCAGTGGAGGAAAATATGATCAATCTAAGCTCATGCAGGATAGTCAGAAGTTTGAGCCTCAGAGCTCCCTCGTTATGCTGTAATGGCTTGGACAAGGAGTAGATTTTGAATAAATATGGCCTTAAATATGTATGCTAATTTTAGAAACTCAAAACAAATCATATGTCCTTTAAAAAGAACATCTTATCTGAGGTCATCTTAATGGGATTGTTTAAGCTCCCCATTGGTACAGAGGAGGCATGGTCGCATGTACCGACCCGGGGTTCCACCGCCCACGCCCTACTGCCCTTCATACATGTGGTGTCTGGTGTAAAGGTGCTTGAGTAGACAGGAGAGACGAAGTTAACTGGGATCAGGGCCCTGTGATACAGTCTATTAGGTTGTGACCTACAGTGGGGTGGGACGTCTCAGAGACGCAGCTGTCTTAGAATTGCACACATTCCTATGAGGAATCCCTCCCGTGTTCCTGTAAGGAAGCCTGTCAAACCCACCAGTTCACTAAAGGAATAACTGATAGGTAAATGATACACTTTAAGTACCAACAATAATTCCTTAGCAATCTTTTATGTTCATGTAGTAAAATAGATCCAGGATCAAAACAATAAAAGAACAAGGCCAGGAAATAGGCAAAGTAATGTGCTTCCATCTACATGGAGGGAGAGCAGTCAGTCACGTTCAGAACCTTTCTCCTGTTTCTCTATTCTGTTGTTCAGATATACCCATCCTCTGGAGGTATTTGATTTGCTTTATTATTCCTTGGAGCCTACATAACTGCCTTAGTTAGTTCCCTATTGCTATGAAAAGACTCTATGACCACAGCAGCTCATAAAACAAAGCATTTAATTGGGGCTAGGTTACAATTTTAGCAGTTTAGTCCATTATTCTGGCAGAGAGTCTGGTGGTGTGCAGGCAGACATGGTTCTTGAAAAGTAGCTGAGGGTTCTATGCGGATCCATGCACGTCAGAAAGAGAGAGGTGCCACTGGATCTGACTTGGACTTTGAAACCTCAGATGCCACCCCCAGGGACACACTTCCTTCGACAAGGCCCCACCTCCTAAGCTTGTCAAGTAGTGCCACTCCCTGATGCCTAAGCATTCAAGTCTTTGAGCCTGTCGGGGCCATTCTTATCCAAACCACCACAATAAGGTACAGAAACAGTTATCAAACTTAATTTTAAAAGAAAGCTAATGATACTGTCGGTGTTGGTGTCAGGCACCAAAATTCACAAGAAAAGTTAGTGTTGTATTTCCATGGTGTCTTGTTCTAAGTTCCCCACTCCACTCCCAGAAAGTCACGTGGCAGCTGGTGAGGGGTGAAGGGACCAGCACCTCAGATAAGGTCTGCCTTCAGTCCCTCCTTCCAGCTCCAGGGAGTGGTGACCACAGGGGACCTTTCTAAAGCAAACCTTCCAGGTTTATGCTGTCCTCTGTCTAGAAAGTCCTGTCTATCCTTGAAGGTTGAGCTCAGACGTGCCTTCTGAGCAGGTCTCAGTCCTGGCAGAACAAAGTGAAGTAATCTTCCTGTTTCATAGATGTTGCTATTTGCTTTTTCTTAATGTTATTTCCCTTTCAGAATTGGCTTGAAAGCCGGCTGGTCGGTTGCTCAAGAAAGCGTGTAATGTTCCTTTTCAGCACTCTTAAGTTTTTCTGTCCTCATCAGTGTTCCCACACTCAAGCATTGACTGTGTTCATCAGACGTGACCGTGGAAGTCTAGAGTGTCATTAAAAATAGATTCATCTATAAAAGACACAAAGAGTTTCCCAAAGCATGGATGTAGTAGCTTAAAGATGAACGGAAAGAAGTATTGTTGGCCAGGGGTCACATCTGCATAGTTCCTAATTCTCACACAGATGTACCCGCCCTGCTTTGTATTTCCCAAGTAGCTGCATATCACATCTGTCGGGTGTGATGTTTTCCTCCTTGGCCTCCGATGGCTTCCTGCCTGGCCTGCAAGCTAATTCAACATTCCCTTCTTTGAGAAACTGCGGAACTTCTGTGTGTGTCTCAAATACCCTTTGGCCCCCTTCAGACACTGTGAGTTTGGGTAATAACTTCTCTCTCACTGTCTGACTCAGGTTGAGCTTTAAAAAAACCACGTCATATTCTTTGTAATAGCTATAAATAAAAGTTTTGTATGCTCACTGTGTCTAACATAATGTTTATTTAGAATGTATATATGTAGGATGTATATACATTGTTAATGGCTGACCAGTGTCTCCAGTCTCCTCAGTTCCCATGCGTTGCTGAGCATAGCTAGGCCTTGGGCAGTTAGGGTGAAAAGGGCACAGGAACCCCTTAGGTGGGTTGAGGCTCATGAGCTGAACCAGTTTTCTCACAAGCCCTGGGAATTGGCCTGTGAAGTTGCTCTCCCAGATCTAGGAATGTCTGGGGTACCAAGGCTGCTGGCTCCCTGGTTCTGTGGCCAGAGGGGCCTTCTCACCTCAGCCTCTTTGTTCACAGAGAACTTCTTATCGCCCCGGGCCACAGAGAGTTTGCTTTTGTGGATAATACCAGGAAACCAGCTTTATTTTGCCTCTCCTCCCTAAGAGGAAGAGGGAGAAAAATCTGAGTTTATTTCATTTCCTTTATACTTTGAGGTGTAGTTCAAAAGGCAACATTCCTTGGGGGAGAAGTATTGCTGTTAACCCCTCAGTGGGAATAAAGTCCTGTGGCAGAGAAGAAAAGTAATAATAATAATAATAATAATAATGAAAATGTGAAAATCTCCTTCAAGCATGCAGCACACTTCAGGCCTTCTTGAGCTGTTTGTTAATCCATTTCTGAGAGAGCAGTCTGTTACTAAATCAAAAGGAGCCTACTGTTTTTGTAGAGGACTAGAGGTCTCCAAAAACAAAAGGAGTATGGCCAGGCTGTCATGGTACACACCTTTAATCCCAGCACTCGGGAGTCAGAGGCCAGCCTGGTCTACAAAGCAAGTTTCAGGGCAGCCAGAGATACACAGAGAAACCCTGTCTCTAAAAACTGAAGAGAAAGAGAAAAGAACAAGAGTGAGCGAGAGAAAGAGGGGAGGAGAGAGAGAGAGAGAGAGAGAGAGAGAGAGAGAGAGAGAGTAGGCAGCTACTACTCACTGTGGGCTCCAGCCCAGGTCTTCACCGGTAGATCTCTGAGTCAGAGGAGGTCCTGCATGGCCATACCTGTGCTGGGGCCCTTGTCTCTGGTGGAGGAGACCATCTTTATGAGATTAAAGAGGCTCCGACTTACTTAGTCTTGATAGGCTTTTATACAGACGATACTTGTGTTTTAGCGGAGGCTGTTTTAGTTGCAAAAAAGTTCAAGACCTAAACAGGATAACGAGATAAATCAATGTGCTGGCCTGAAAAACCCAGGCTTTTCAGATTTGGACTCGGTCTGTTGCAGGGACCCGAGCAGTGTCTGCTCTCTGTCTCTTGGCTCTGCCTTCTACTGATTAGATTGACGCTTAGGCGGGTTGCCCCTGGTCTACCTGTGGGTCCTTGAAGAAGCTGTGGGCATAAACCTAGTTGAAAAAAACGTGGGGGCGGAGGTAACTTTTTCTCTTCTTCTCCTTGTTCTTTGGGACAAAGTCTCACTGTTGAGCCCAGGCTGGCTTAGCTGGTGGTGGTCCTCCTGCTTTATCCCCCTGAATGCTGGGACTACAGGTGTGCTCACACTGGGCCGCTGCCTCTCTTCTAATCCCTGGGTAGAGTCTCATGATTAACACTGTGTGGGTCACATGCTTATCCTTAACCAGTCACCGGAACTGTGCAGACTTGTTGCTCTGGCTGGTGCGCAGGCGCCAGTGCATGCTCGCATCCACTCTCACACAGATAAGAGATACAAGCTTGCAGCCTTTGTGCTGAACCCCTGACCCTAAGAGCCAGGAGGGTGAAGTTTCCTTCTTAGTCAGTTCTGTTACTGTTACAGCCTCAGCTTAGAAGCTCCTCTGACACAGAGCTGTGGGGAAAATCAGTTGAGTGGATGAGTG